GACTATGTTTTCTTGATCAATAATTGTATACTATGCAAATTTTGTTTGTTTAGGGAAAAGAAACAAGGTGTATGAGGTTATATAATTGAGAGTAATGCAGTTCACTGGATTGTAGTTTTATCGGTTCTTTTTTTATTATTTTTATTTTATTTTATGGATTATTGAGCATCCATAAGTTCAATATGTCATTAACTAATCTGAATTCAAGTTGACAATATCCAATAAAAAACAAAATTTTTTCTCACAAATTTTAACGAAATTGTATTCTCAATATTTAAAATCAAAATTTTTAATTAAATTAAAAAAACCCTATGTCAACTCATACCTAGTTTTGTCGGTTCTGTTGCAACTTGTTCGTGGAAAAGTAAGTTCAATAGTTGATGATTGTGATTAGTGAGAGTAATGTTTCAAAACTAGGCCAGCCGTCCAGGCCCCCCCATCTATGAGGAAGGGTCTAATCAAAAGCCCAACCCAAAGTGAAAAATTAAAAATGGGACCGCAACATACCCATTACATTAATGGACAATGGTTGGTTGAGAGCCCAATTGTCTCTGACGTGACCTGCGAACCGTCCCTCACTATTTAACCACACGGCAGCATTTATTTGGACGGCATTCCTGTCAGACAAAACTATATTTTGATTCTTATTCTCCATTTTCTTACTTTATATTCGTTAATGTATGGTTAAATCCCCGGTTCAGTCCCTTAACTTTCATTTTTGAACTAAATTTACCCTTAAACTTCAAAAAATACTAAAAAAATCTTTAAATTTCAATTTTTGGGACCAATTTTGTCATTCTGTCAATTAAGTGTTGACATGGCAAAATTTTTTGTTAACAAATTCAATTTTTATTAATATTGAATATTACCTGGAAATAAAATAAGTGAAGTGTCATTTTTAATTATAAAAATATTATGACTTGACACCAAAAATATAATTTAATAAATAAAAATTTCCTTTCTTTCTTTTTTCTTTTCCTTCCTTTTTTTTTTTCTCCTTTTCTTTCCTTTTCTCCTTCCCCTCCCTACTGGGTTCGAAGGAACCCAGCACCAACGCCTGGGTTCAAGGAACCCACGCCTGAGTTCGAGGAACCCACGCCTGAGTTCCATCGAACCCAAACATGCTGGGTTCGAGGAACCCAGGCCTGGGTTTTAGTCGAACCCACATGGGGTTTTTCTTCTGTTTCTTTGTTGGTTGCAATCATGCTTAGCTATCTTGGTATGGGATTTAGAGTTTTGTGTGGCTTCTGCTTGTTTGAATTTCAAGATCTAGTTACTGTTGGTGTTGATTAAAGGGATGTTGTGTTTTTTACATTTTCCTTTACAGATCTAGTATACATTTGCAGAGAAATTGATTTTTTGAATAAGATCTATTGGTTATTATTGTGTGAGGAACCAGATTTGAGTTCTATTAGAGAGGAGGTTTTGGAAAGAAGGAGATGATGATTGGAGTGGTAAGGAATAACCAGAGCAATGAGAGATGATTGGTGCTGATTGGGTTGCAAGATGAGGAGACATCTGAGGATAGAGAGAGATGAGAAGGGAGAAAAAGAGGGGATGGAAGATGAAGATGGGGTATTTAAGAAATTTTAAATTTTTTAATATATAAATTAATTAAAATGATATGTACAATAATAAGTTAAGTTATTTTCCACGTAATTAAAGATTTCAAATAAGAATTGATTTCGTGGCAACTTAATGTGCCATCTGGCACTTCCGTCGACGGAAGGACAAAATTAGTCTCGAAAATTAAAGTTCAAGGATTTGTTTAATACTTTTTGAAGTTTGAGGGTAAATTTAATTCAAAAATGAAAGTTGAGGGACTGAACAGGAGATTTAACCTTAATGTATAGTAACTATTTAAACTTTATTTAATAAGATTGTGATTTTCAATTTTTTTATTTTAAAATTTTATACTTAATAAGTTGATAATTTTATTTATAATTCTTAGAATAAAACAAATTAATTAAATTTAAAATTTAAAATTTTATATTTAATAAGTTTGATATTTTTAATTTTTAATTTATAAAAATTCAAAACTCAAAATTACAATCCTATCAAACATAACTTAAATAATTTATTAATAATTTCTTTAAATAAAAATGTAAGAAATATTGCTTTGAATATGTGCTTTGCAGCCTTGGGAGATGCCATGAAGGATGAAGACAATTAAGAAAAAGTGTTTTTCTTTTTCTTTTCTTTTTTTAGAGTTCAGGACACATCCCGTTATCTTGAATCAATTGTAGGGAACAATTGCCTCTCTTTTTTGCGACTTTTGTGTCTTTTGCATATCTGTATTCTACTAAAGTCATCTCGAACACTTATGCTTGAGAGAGCCAAGGGTCTACTGGGATGTTTATGCCAGATATATTGTTTTTTTCCTTTGGCCAAATGTCAACTATGTTTAAAATTGGATCATGCTCATGTCAATTGCTTCTCAAGATTGTCAAAATCAAGAGCTCAGATAAACCTGTTTTGGCTAGATAAAATTAAAATTGATAAAATTGAAAGTTTATTAAATTAATTTAAAAATTATATATTATTAAAATTTAACATCAAATATTCAAATTTTAAATTTATCTAAAAAGTCTAATTACTAACTAATTATTTCAAGTCTTTATTGAGTATTTTTCTGTTTCACAATTATTAAATTGTTTCAAATTTTAATGATTTTGACCTAAAAAATATATCATAATAAAAAATTATAAGTTTAACTTGTATAAAATTAATAAAACCTTAAAATTTTTACTTGAAAATCCAAAAAAGTCAAATTACATGGTCCAGATTTGAATTGTTGCAAAACAAACCCATAAATGAGCAACAAGCACCATTCCTCCTCCAATGCGTTATTGGGGATTATTACTTAAATTATAATACAAAAATTTATAAAAACTTTTAAATTTGTAAAACCTTGATTTTACGATTTTGAACCTCAAGTTTATGAGATTCTAATTTTAATTTTAATTTGATGCAAATTGGATATTTAAGATTTTAAAATTGTATGATTTTACCAGAAAAATCAAGATTTTGACAACTTTGTTGCCTCCTATTTTGTTAATTAGTAAAATGCAAGTTTTAGAAAAATAGTTTTGATTTTACCAAACAGTTTTTGTACAAAGTGTTAGCTTTTTTTTTTTCTTTGTTTTATTCTTTGTGCAAAAAAGAACTTAGGTTTTTATTCTCTGTAATTCTTTGTGGAGAAAAGAACTTAATGCATAATAATCAAAGGTTTGGACGTAATTTAATATCTTTTGAAATTTGAGGGATTGTATTGCAAGAAGAGAGGTTGCTTTTAGGGATCTAAATGAATTAATTTGAAAAGATAGGACCAAAATGCTCATTATATGGAATGTCGAGGACAAGATTGTCATTTTACCATTGAATAAATTGCAAAAAGAACTAAAACCCCACACAGGTTTAGTGTCGACACCATGCGATGATACCTTCTGAAAATAGCTAGAACTTAGAGTGTGAAATGAACACAATTGTCGAACACCTATGTTTTGGCGTCGACACCTATGTTTTGGCGTCGACACCATTAGCACTTTCCTGCTTAAGTGCCAACTCAACCTATCATGATGCCACAGTGTGTGATCCAGTCAATTTAATTAACGACACATTATAACTTTCGTTGCCAATCCATTAATATTAAAGAGCTAATTTGATGCCTTGTTGTAGGGAAGGGCTTAAATGATACTTTTTTAATTCGAAAGATTAAAATTAACAAACTCTTGATTTCGACAGCTTAAGCTTAATTTTAGCCGCAAACCGTCCCTCACCATTTCACCACAAGGCAGTACTTATTCTGAAGGCATTCTTTCGGCAGGACAGTATTTATTCCAAAGACATATTCTTGCCCAGACAAAACTTTGATTCTGATTCTCCATATTTTTTAATATTTAGTAACAACTTAAACTCTATTTAATATGGTTGTAATTTTGAGTTTTTTATTTTAGTTTTTAAAAGTTTAAACATTTTTAAATAAAATTAAAATTTTTTGTAAAATTTATTAAATTTGAAGTTTTAAATATTTATTTTAAAATTTTATACCTAAGAAGTTTATCATTTTAATTTTTAAATCTTAAAATAATAGTAAATAGTTATATAAATTAATTAAATTTAGAGTTTTATATATTTGTTTTAAAATTTTATAACTAATTAATTAGTAATTTTAATTTTTTAATTATTAATGTTGATTGTTTAATTTTTGAAAACTAAAACTGAAATCTCAAACTCAATCCTATCAAATAGAGACTTCAATAGTTCATTAGTAATTTTTTTAAATGAAAATATAAAGATTTATGAATTTGAGCTGTAAGCATAAATGACTAAAAAAATGAGAGAGAGAGTTGTCCTGAAATCAAAAAAAAAAAAAAAATTGCTTTCAATTTAGGCAACTTTTGGTAAAGAGGATTCCCAGTAGATAAACGCAGCCCCAGTAGGAATATCATCTTTCTTTTTCTTTTTCTTTTTTTTTTTTGTTAAATCCCTAACTTGATCCCTCAATTATTATATAAATCTTTAAATTGGTCCTAAACTAAAAAAATTCTTAATTTTTTTGTCATGTCTGTCATTTATCCATGCTATCAATTCTATGTATCAAAAATTTTTGACATGTAATTCTTTTACTGTTAATTAACAAGCCATGTTAGTGAGTTTTTAACAGAAGGGCAAAGTCGGGTCAAATTTAAAGACTTTAAGACCAAATTAGAGATTTTTTTTAGTTTAGGGACCAACTCAGGAATTCATCAATAGTTTAGGGACCAATTTGGGGATTTAACCTTTTCTTTTTTTCTCCCTTATAATGTCTTCCCCCCTCACCTCAGCCCTTGCAGATCGACTTGCCCACCCAGCATTAGTCTCATCTTACACTTATATTATGTCGAATATCGTTCGAAGTGGCTTCTTTTCTGGAGTTTCCGGTCCTTACATGACGAGTTATGTTTGGGACCCTTTCTCAGGTATGGAATGCGTAGGCCCTGCCAATATCTTATACCACCCTACCATGCCCGCTGGGATGCGTTTCGACCCAAGGATTGAGTGGAAGGACACACCGGAGGCGCACGTGTTCAAGATCAATCTTCCAGGGTTCAGGAAGAATGACTTACAGGTGAAAGTGGAGGGAAACATGCTGTGCATAATTGGCGAGAAACATGTGGAGAAACAAGAGAACACGTACATGGGATATCGCATGGAGCGGAGTAGCGGCATGTTCTCCAAAAGTTTCGAGTTGCCACTGGATGTAAGAGCTGACAAGATTAAGACCTGTTTCGAGAATGAGGTGCTCACTGTGACTGCTCCGAAGGATGCGAAACGCTCAGAAAGATTCATTGAGATTCACTGAGAAGTGAGACCTCTATCGCTCGCCAGAGTTCGATTATGGTATGTGTCTATAATAAAAATAAAAGGAGCGCCTTACCTGCGATATCTCGTTCTTGTTCTAAAACCGTGTACTCATGTGTGAGAAGAACAACAGTATTGCTGGTTAATTATAAGTAAATCTAGTTTGTTTCTAATTATGTCAAACTCTCTATTTGCATACTATATATATATATATATTTTATGATTAACACCATTTTATAATTTTTATTTTTAAACAATATTCTTTATAATTTGAAACTCATAAAAAACTCTAAATTACCACCAAAATTAAGGTGCAAATAATTAAGAAATTTAATTATTAATTTTTGAGTTTTTTTATGGATTTTAAATTATAAATGATATTAACTATAAATAAAAATTCTTAAAAGTATTAACTGTGAAAAAAATAATGCACAATGTGCAAATAAAGAGTTTGGCCTTCTAATTAACAATTTTAGCTAATTTGGTTCATAAGACCACTTAGATAAGAAAAGTATAGAAGATCGATGACCATGTTTGCTTATCAATACATTTAACCTTGGAGCTATAATTAGTTCAAATATATATTTCTTTTGTTCATTTCTAATAAATTTAATTTGATTTTTTAATTTCTTAAGTATAAATTTTATATGAGAATTTAATGTATTATCTAAATGATAATTGAAAATATTTTTTAATTAAATAAAAATATTCAACAAAAACTTTATAAAAGAAAAAAAAAACTTTTGAATTGTTATTCATATCAATTATTAAATTTTTATTTAAAATTTATATCTAAAAATTTTTAAAATTAAATTAAATATACCAAAAATAAATGAAAGATGGAGTATATATATGTGTATGTGTGTGAGTGTGAAAATCACCTATACAAGTAGGCATTCTTAAGTGTTAATTAATGTTAAAGATGGGTCAAAAAACCTGCTAAGCTGTGTCCTTTCTATTTGATCCTATCCTCGGATGGACAATATCATATATCAACATCTCCACCAAACGACGCCGTAACTGACATTCGAAAATACAAATTAATTAAACAATTGTGAATGAAAAAGATCATGGGTGATTCTGTCACTTCTGTGTCCTTGCTGTTCGTTCTCTATATAAATTAGATGCGCACAAAGAAGATTCCATTGCAAATTGCAATAAAGCCAGTTCCCTTGCTTTATCATCTATATTTCCTTTGTGTGACAAAGAAGATGTCTCAATTTGAAGGAAGCATGCCCATGCCTTCTCCGCCTCCATCCATGCCAAACGACAGCATGAGCCCAGGAGACATGAGCATGATGATGCACATGAGTTTCTACTGGGGCAAAGATGCCATAATCCTGTTCTCCGGTTGGCCTGAAGGGAGTGCCGGTATGCACGTTTTGGCTCTCTTGTTCATCTTGTTGCTTGGTGTTGCAATCGAGGTCCTCTCCGTTTCATCAGCAGCTAATCCCGGCAAGAATGCAATCCTCGGAACCTTCACTCAGGTCTGTGTTCATGCCATTCGGATGGGATTTGCCTACATGGTTATGCTTGCGGTTCTGTCGTACAACCTCGGCATCTTTATAGCTGCACTTGCTAGCCATGCCATGGGGTTCTTTGTCGTTAGAGCTCGTGCTCTTGTAACACCGAACAGAGCGGGCCAGGGCTCCTCCACTAACGCCACAGCTGAAGTTTGATAATAAGCTGCCCATACCTACTTCTTTTTTTTCCTTTTTTTTGGGGGGGGGGGGGGG